AAAATCTATAATGTCTCCTGCTGTTTTAAAAGCAATTATCCCAAATCAGTACTGACCTAGCTGCCAAAGCAAATTAAAGCATAGTATATACACCACAAATTAGAGAGCTCTGTTTAAATACACATTTTTGTACCTTGAGAAAAAAGTGTGAAGGCTGTGAAAGGATTATGTCAGGTATACTAATTTTTCTAATCAGAAAGCTCCTGTCCAATACAGCTGTGTCAATAACCTGGCACAAGCCAATTACTACTGCTGTACTACTGAAGAAATCCTAGGAAATGGGTAACTGAGGTGGGTAGTTATTACACTTACAAAAAATTATGCTAGCATCTTCAGGTACCTAACACTCCTTAGAATTTTTTTTTTTTTTGCTGCAAGCAGAAGTAGGAGTTTGTGTCAAGATTTTAATGGATACAGATTATGTGCTGGGTTTTTTTCTGTGCAATCTAGGCTTGTCATGGGAATGGAAATGACATGTTACTGTTGAAATATAGTATTAATGCTTGAGGGAAGAATAAGATATTGTTAGGTGATTCTAAAAGGAGGAACAAAGGATACTCAAGGAAAAGCATTTTCTTCAAATAAAAGAGTGTGTAGATTTTGGTCTTCTTATAAAGACCAGACACCACAAATCTAAGAATTTTGGAAATTCAATATTAAAAAAAGGTAGTAAACACAAGATCTGTTTTGAGTTGTCTTGTGCTTTCTTAAACATCTGAACAAACTGTTGACAATATTTTATCTCCATGTACCTTTACCTTACAATGTTAATGATATTTACATATATGACGAAATTTCCTTTGTTAGATTACCTAATGACTAACACTTCGACACAATATAACAGCGCAAACTTAAAAAGTAGTTATTAACCAGACTATTATGAACAATAAAATACCAGATTCCAATATATTTGAGTTCCAAATATGGAAAACATTCCTGTAGCATATGTGGTTGATGATGTTGTTAGCAACCTACAGAACTGATTTTTAGCACCCTCAAAACTAGTAGTCCAACAAAGTACTAACAGGCCGAATAGTGCAATGTTCATAGTAATGTTGGAACAATGACAATGGCCACTGAGAATACCAAGACCAAATCACTGTGAGGGTATGCTATGGAGCACAGCATGCTGTGTATGATTCCAGAAAGAGACCGAGGCATAATGCACTCAGTACAAGGCAGCTGCCTACTCCTCTTACTCTGTACCTACTATCTGGCAGCCAGACACATCTCTCTCCTCACAAGCCTATAAAAACAATCGGATACCCTCCTGTAACAGGTATCTTTATCCAGACAGGATAAAGAAAGTCAGATTCAGTGTACCTAGACTAGAGAGCACACTTTTATACAGATAGCCCTAAAATGTAACATTATGTTTACATGCTGTGTTTTCTTTCTAGAATGACATTTTGTTCTCAAAGCATTGACAACCTTCACCTTCATCCAGCCCAAGAGAAAACATTTGTGAGGTGTGAAGACCGCTTTCGGAGACAAAACACAAAATGAGCAAGAACACAAAAGCCAACGACTCACCAAAATATATTAAAAATACTATACATCTAGTAAAATGCTTTAAAAAATACACACCTAAATTAAATTCAAATATAGTTTCATATGTGGTAAAGAAAACACATTAAAAGAATTCAGATTTTGTGATGCAACAGTAAGCTGAAATATGTGCTTTGCTCATCTATGAGCCTACTCTCAAAGTGATCAATGAGCAATTTCATCAACAAGCAACTGTCAATTTTAAATGTTTAAAGTTTTAAAGAACACCTCACTAGAAATAAAAAGATTACTATTTGAAAGAATCATTGCCATAAGCCTTTGAAAAATTTCACTTTGTTGGATTGAAGGGAAAAAAGTAGACTCATTTCCCATTAGATACTTTGAAACGTTAATAGTGACTACTATCAGTTAAACCTTTCCTAAATTACTTCCTAAGGAAGGGGGAGTTAAATAATTCATAGAAGAAAATACTGCCAAATAGATAACATTGTTTACAAGGAGTTTGAACTTTTTACTGTATAACATTCAAAAACTAAAGAACATCTCAACATACAGAATGCTTGAGCTATCTGTCATGACCATATGACAAGCCAAATAACTATGTCACCTAAAAGTGCTATACTAAACTTTGTCCTAATGGAAAATGCTTTGCTGTTCAACTATTTTAACTAAGGTACTGACTTAAATTACTAGTAATTTAATTATTTTAATGATGCTTAGTATACTACATGCAATTCTAGCACAACTAAGTTCAGTTAACTTTTGCATTAGAATCATATTTACCTGTTCATGTAAGGCCTGAGAAGTTTAGATTTTTAAATTGCTGTGTAGTAGATTTTAGTATGATTTGAAACTGCATAAATAAATGAAAATGGTAAAATCCCAAACATCTTCAGTGCATATAAACAAACTTTATAAATTCAAACATATACAATTCCCCTGTTTCCTATGTCAGAATATAAGCTACATAATGAAACATTATTGTCTCAAATTATTCCTATTTTATGGTTAGTGCATACCAAAATAGAAATCAATATGTATAGCAGAGTATTTAATTTGTCACTTTGTAATGCTAAGCACAAGATTCATTAAAAATTATGTTTCTACAACTCTGTATTCTGAATGTAATTTGATTTAAATGTTCTCTAAATGGAAAAAAAATGTGCAAGACAGTCGTAAGACCTGAAGAAAAGCATATTTTCCATACCAAGATATTGCAGGGAATTTTGAATAAAAATATACAGATGCTACCAGGATTAAAGTGAGATTCATTTAAAAAGCATGACAAATGAACAAGATGAGCAGAACTAGCAATTCTGCAAGCAGTGAAGTGATCAAATGTTGGATGCAGTCATCTTTGCCGACCATTCAGAGTGTTCACTTCTAACTTTTAAAAGCTGTTTTGAGTGACTACCATTCCTTTAAAAAAACCAAAACCCAACAAAAAAACCCACTAGAGAGTTGGCGAGACAGCATTTAATGAGATTTGTATGATGTAAAACATACATATTCATGCAGCCTTTCAAGTCTTGATTTTCCTGTATTTACATATCCTAACACACTTTGAAAACGTTTTAGACATTAAAATTGGCACTTCTTTCACATTATTATCACTTACTTCGTAAGAAGTCTGATAAGGGATCTAAACTTGAGGAGAAACAAGCTTGAAAGCATTAGTTCAGGAAAAGCAGGTGCAAAAAAGGTCTGAGATGTCTACAGTGTGCTGAAACTCAAGTAACAGGGATTCTGCAGTTTGAGGACTTCAAAAGTTTTGTGGGGAAAAAACATTTTCCTGTTCAACTGAAACAAGCTAGCATATCCTGAGATAACACAATCTGAAAACTCTATGGGAAAACTAAAAGAACATTCAGTATTTGAACTCCTGCAGATATGAAGATATTTTGATGTAATTTTTCACAAATAAAATTTTATCTTTCCAAATAAATCCTGTCCCTGTGTTTTGATAGCCATTACACTAATTTCTGACATAAAAATGAAGTAAAACCTAAGTTGCAGCATACTTGAAGTTTTACAATGCCTGAACATAATACTGAAATCATACCCACAATTGCTAGTGCCTGTAGCGGTACCTTACTTTTGGCTCATTTGAATTACTCCTATCTCACTCCAAATAAGTGAATCAAGACCTTGAAAGCCATCAGGAACCCACTCCTGTCAAAGCAAGTACAGCTTAGAACAATAAACAACTGCTGTCCTTTTAATCACCTCTCTGGAATTATGAGCCTTCAATATTCAGAAGTAAAAATATCTTGTTCCTTTTTGTGCGTTTTTTCTGAAAAAATATTGGAACGTTAATTAAAAGGCAATCTATACAGCTGACTTATAGTCTATGGGATATAATAAGTTTCATAGCTCAAGAGGAGTTTGATGCCCTTCTCACACCATTCTGACTGTACATGCTTCTACACCAGAAGTGAATCCATACATTTAATGGCTAAAATATTAAGAAATACGACACCTAAATGAATAGCTATAACTAGGGATTACTAGGTCAAATATTAGAAAAACTACAGCTATTTATGTACACCTGTTTCCCCCAAACACATTTTAAAATATATACAAAATTTGTATTTTAGATGCTTATTCATTAATTCTACCCCTCTGATTTGCATTCCTAAGCAGAAATTTAAACGCTACCACCACCAAAGCTATGAAGCACCTATGATGCTGATTTGCAGAAAGACTCTGCTCCAATGGATCTTTTTTTAACACCTTTTGCCCTGACAATGCTACTTAGGTACAAGGGGAAGCACTTGTATTTAAAAAAAAAGTCATGGGAAGAATTTTTTTTTTTTTTTTTTTTTTTAAGTACTGCAAGGAAGGAACTCTGCATATTCTTTGATTACATCAAAGCATAAGCTGCTCAGTTAGGGAAACAGATGTCTAAGCAGGCCATTCTCAATGAACAGCCCTAAGAATGAAAGAGTAGCTGGCAGGACTTGGCTTTTAAAAAGCATTCTTATCTCTTAAATCAACTATACAACACACACAAAACCACAGAGACCCGGCTCAGCAGTTTTAAAACATCTTGCAAAAAGCAAATTTGCTCATTCTAAAAGTCTAATCCATCAGTGCATTCAGAGTATCACAGGTTAATTTCAGTATCCCTTTTCAAAAATATATTTATTTCAGAAGGTATAATTCAGTAGCTATGGTGCCAGGCTTGAATATCCCACCAGTAACTAGTTTCCATTTTGAAGATAAGAACAGAGAAAGCCTTATTCCTGTGATCATACAAATAATTTAAAGGTAATTTTAGAGCTTTTCCTCAAAAAGGTTACAAAAAACCATTTACTCTTACATTTAACTGTATGCAATTAAAATCAGGAGGTGCACTTTGATAGTGTAAAGATAAGAGAACCACTTTTTGGCATGACAGTGTCTTTCCGGTGAAAGCCAAAAATTAAGTAGAAGTGTGTATTCCTTTTTGCTTTCAGAGTTCAAAAAGTAAAAGGATCTTCAGAAGATCATTTTGTCAAGTCTATTTATTAATGCATTTCAAGTTTCAAAAAACCTTACATATCTTTGCACAATACTTTATTTTTTGCATTTTTTTAGTAAAAATTTCCAAAGTGAACAAAAAAGATACTGTATAAAACACAGTGGACATGAAATCGACAGTAGTATTCCATTTCATTGTCTTGAACTTTCTTTCGGTTTTACCACATCTTGACTTGTAGTGGAGAGTTCAGTGCACATTTCTGTTTTCAGAAAACATTTAACTTAGACTCAAAATAAAATAGGGCAGCATTTGTCTGCCAAAATCCTACCACAGGATAACATTACAGGCAAAAAATTTACATGTTCCAAAGTCTACCACACTCAAGAAGTTACTAAGAACTCTTGCTGAATAAAAGTCACCATTTTAGATATGCAAACCCACTTCCAATCTTTGCACAGTCTTAAAACGAATGTATTTAAAATGACTTAAAAGCAACTACATACACTTCTAACTAGTTAAGATCATTTAGAATTATTTATATAGTCTATCAGACTTGGGGTTTCATGTACAAAATTTGTCTCTAAACCATGTACAAAAAGCTGTATTTTGAAAAAGTTACCACATACTGTACAAGTTTACAAGGAAGAGATCCCATTATATTCTGTAACATTTTTGGCCTTGCTGGCTTGCGTCACATTATGAGAATGATTGTGTAAACCTTATACTCTTAAACAAAACAAAAACAAAAAACAAACAAAGGAAGCCTGACCAACCCTTAGTAAATTATCTCCTAAGCAAAGCCAGGAAAATTATAACCTTTTGCGTCTCCAATTAGCTTGGTGCTTTTGGAAAACAAGCAATAAATAGATCACAAGCTTAAACATTATGTAATGCCCCCTTTCATCTCCTGAATAGCAGTAAGAACCTTAAGACATCTTTTGTTTCCTCTTTCAAAAATGCCAATTATTTACATTTGTAATAAAAACTTTGGAATGGGACATTGTGCTGTTGAACTTCACTACTGTTATAAAATGTGGGAAAATTGGTAGTCCTAACTACAATTTTAACTCTGCCACAGTAGCTGGGCAAATCACTCTACTTTAGTGGTTATCAATCAACAGTATCATGCTGAAAGGTTATCAAAATATCTGATAAATTAAAAAATAAAATAAAAAACCTACAGCTTTTCTTTCTTTACGCATCCCTCAGAACACAAACTTAATTAACATACTGTAAAAATATCTGAACAGCCCAAATAAACTGGTTGCAATTTTTAAAACAAGTTCAATAACAGGCAGAATTTTCTACATAAAGCATGGAAATATTTCATCGAACTACTCATTATTCAACTGAATAATCAGACAAAAATATTTATGCTGAGCTACAAGAAATCAGACACTTATATAAAACATTTTTTAAACATTCTGGCATTTGTAAAGTTTGCAGAACACCTGTTATCTCTAAAAGACCATTCAATCTTGTATGCTATGTCTTAGCAGCTGTTTGATAAAGATGAAATGGGTGGTTCAAACAACTTTGATCATGATAAAAAAAAGTTTGATTTGATTCAAAATTGCTGTGTAAAGCATCACAGGATCCTTGACCATTACACACCATCATCCTCTGTTATCCTGAGTATGTCAATTAAACAGTAATTTCTTCATTAATAGCAGAAAAGTTTTATAATACAAAGAAACATCCATATTGCAATTTTCTTGTTTACAATTGCACACAAGTACGGGTGTACGTTAGAAATACATGTCTGCATATAACAATGTATATACATTGACAAGTAATGTCTCCAATGCTGAGGTGGCCTACCTTCCTAGCCTTGTCTGGCAGTTGAAAAATATATATTTTTTCAATTCTTGAGTAAAAGTTTTAATACAGCCATATTTGCCTGCAAGTGGAGAAAATGCAGCAATGAAGAGCACAGAAGGGGGAGAGAATCATGATACTCTAGGATTTCGTGCCACTAAATTAAAAATATGCAAGAAAAACACTTCTCTTCATTTTGAGTTGGAAGATTTGTTCATTAAAATTTAACCTCTTCCACTTCTTTTGAGGGCATATAATGCTTTGCTTTTTTTTTTTCCTCTCTTCAATTTTTGAGAGTTAGACCAGGGACAATGACTCATTAGGTTTTCTTTGGAGTGAGTTTTCCCATTGTAGGCACTAGGAAGAACCAAGGCAAAAAGCTGCAGTTAACGTCTCATATGTCCCATCTGATAACTCTCTCGGGGCCTTTGCCGCTGTGGTGGCTGAGTGGTTTGTGGTGGTCTCCTCCTTTTTAAAGTGCCTATTTCAAAGAAAGGTACAAATTATTAAAATGAATTTTTAAAAAGTTATTTCCAGAAAAGTTGCCCTGGCCATGCAAATCAAATATCACTATTTTTCTGAAAGGCTTCAGATTTAGACCTGCAAGGTTTTAAATGAATGATTAACTGCATAGAACATTTACAGAATACATTTTATTACCTCAACAGTAGTTCCTTCAACAGAGCGATTCTTATAAAATGTTGCATGGAACAGGAAATAAAAGGAACTCTGACTTAGAAAAAGCCTTCAAAGTTTTCTTTTGATATGCATATTACGTTACAGGAAAATACAGCAAGAGTTACATTTTTATGAATTGTTTAATTGGCATGAATTCCATTTGTAGTTTCACTGTGCCAGACAAAGAACTGTAGGTTGGGATACCTGAAATCTCCATTTAGAACAAAATAGTTGAGGATAAAACATTCTCTATAAATTTAATTATCTGGTGTACTCACCTGGAAGTGGTTTATGAGGAGGCAACTTTGGATTACTGCTTGGAGTATGAACACTGCATATCTTAATGAAACCAGCCATTAACATGATCAAGGCAATTCCCATAAGCAACACTGCCCACCAATAAGCCTAAAAACATTGAAAAAATATTTTTTAGGGGCTGGCACACAAGCACAAGAGACAGGGGTCATTGAATATGGCTTTCCTTTGCCTTTTAAAAGTAATCAAAAAGCTGTTCTGAAATGCAACTTAGAAGACCATAACATTTTTAAGAAAAATGTCCCTAAAGTTCTTACACAAAAAACCCCCAACACTTCAGATTCATTCTATCATCAAAAGAGTATTTAGCAGAAGATGCACTACAACAGAGCTATATAAGCCTAAAACGATCAACAGCTTACACAAAACTGACTATGCAGCTCTATAATGGTATTTCATTGTAGCTCTCCTCCCAATCTATCGTTAGGAAAGTGTCATCGAGTACAATAAAAGTAAGAAATGCTAGAGATCAATATATTCAGTTCCTGAAAAGAAATCAAAACATTCAAATATGAAGAGTTAAAAAGGGAAAACCCAGTAAACTAAAAAAAAAAAAGAACATTAACACCAAAACAGACAGAGGTATTAACACAAAATATTTACTTGTTTATTTATTTGCTTCCATTCCTTTCAATCTGTCAAACTTATTTTGCTGCACTTAAAGTGCTTATAGAAAAACTAGTAAAACAAGGACTGATTATACTTTGAAGAACACTGAAGTACTGTATATATACAGCAACTGTTACCAACGGTTGAATAGCGATTAACAAGAAAATTATACATTAGACTGGTAAGAAAAAAAAAAATACTTACCACAATCCATTCTGCAATATTTTCATATAGCTCCGGATTAAAAATTGCTTTCTTTAATCTAGCTAGAGGGCCATCAGCATCTACTAGCCGGCACCTCATAAACACATCACAGTAGCCTTTGAAATCATTACAAGGAGATCCAGGTTGCAAAGTAATAGTTTTACGACCAAAGTGTTTCTCCCACTGCTTAGAGCCTGTACTTGCACAAGTAGTTGGGTCCACTGAAAAGTGAATACAAATTAGATTAATCAAACTGTTATTGTATTAAAACATATAGGCATGAACATCTTGCTGTTCAATTGTTCAAAATGCCTTTGAAAAATTTCTATTTGAAGTTTCTGTATTTCTATTTGAAAAGTTTCTATTAATCTGTAAAAAACCAAAATATATTATTTCCTACAAAATATAATACAATGCTTATCTGAAAGTATGAACAAAATTGCAGTAGGCTCTCGAGTTAACAAAAACTAAAATATAAACACCATGAGAAGATTCCTCAGATACCTACTGCTACTTTTATGCTTACAATTCAGACAAATCTTACTTTTTCTCATGCAGCAGACATGACACAATTCTCTATCATCCTTGCCATCTGAACTAGCACATGTACATTCCTCCAAGCCATACTTCTCACAGATAGAGCCAGCACATTGCTGTTTGAGACAAAAGCACAAGAACAAGAAAATCAATTTCACTTTTAAGCATACTGACATTAGGAAAGATATTAATTTTTAATAGCTGAAAGCATAATCATAGGTCTAAAGATGCTTATCAATTAAAAAAATAACATGAATTTCTTCTGAAGTTTATAAAACAGAAGATTTATTTCAGTTATTCAGTTGCAATGTTAAGGCTTATTTGATTTTTTTTTTTTTTTAAAGGTGATTTACCCTCTTTTATTTTTTAACACTATCTTCTTTTAAGGCCTCAGAGTACCCTGCAAAACACTCACAGAACTGCAATTCACACTGAAATGTGAATACTCAAAACTGCAGTTAGGAAAATAAATAAAAAGCATGTCTTCAAAAATATTCTCTCTCCTAAAACAATAATAATAATTAATGGCAGAAAGATTCTGTATTTAATTCCACTATGGGAAGACCCTTCAAATTAAAATAAAAAAAAAAAAAATAAAAATTGGTGTATTTATAACCTTGTTTCAAAATCAAGTAACCACATGAAGACAATTTCTCTATCTTTAAAATGAATCTAAATTAGCTGAAAAATTATTACAAGCAGTACCATTTGATTAAAAACCTGGATTGTGGAAAACAGACTTACAGCAACACAAGTTACAGCTCTTTAAGAGGATGACTTTTGCCTGTTTCTGCTTCCAAGTAAACATAAATCAATTTATAAGAGACTTCCCATCAATATTTCATAGCAACTGCAATGGACGCTTTAACCCAGGAAACTAATGGCAGTTCAGAGTAATTCTATATGCTTGCACGTCTGTGTTACATGCACATGGGTGGAGCAACTGTATATTTTCGTTAAACCAAATTTAACATGTATCAATAGCATATCTAATTTTCTAAGGCAACAAAATTACTTGACCAAGTCTGAAGAAAAAACTTTAAATGGAACTTTTCTCAAATAGTAAAGCTAGCTTGATATTTGTTACCCGTTTCTTAATATTTGGTATACCTTCACAGTTATCTTGATTGAAACCAATAAATCAAACATATTTATTGAAAAATAAATTAATCTTATCCTCTTCCCCATTAAGTATTGAAACCATATCACTTCATAATACAGTGCATTGTAATAAACAACTGCAGTTGCATATGACTGCAAAAGAACATACCCCCTTTATGCAAACTTGTGTGTGCCTGTTGCAATCTGTGAAGTTTGGTTTAGGCTCAGATGCTGGACAGAGAGCACTGACACCATTACACATTCCTTCTTTTGCACAGTCAGAATCATTTCGGCACTTGTCGGTCTTCAGTTTGAAAATACACTGGGCAGTACAGCAGGGCCCTTGGCTAGGGCTAGAAATAAACAGAAAACATGGATGTTAAGAAAAAGCATGAACAATTCCAGAAGAACTATTCATCCTGAAACCTATTTGAACGCTCAACATCTTTCTGATTTGTGCTAAGTAAAATGTGAATTGAAGATAATTTTTTCTGTCCCTTAAAGTCACAAAAGGTTACTGCACTGAATATGGATTTCTTAGTCACTGTAGTAACCAATTAAACTATACATTGTATTACAAAAACAGTACAACCACATTTTAAATTAAAATATATTTATTTTAATTTAAAATTAAGAAAATAACAGCATTTCAAAGTTTGTACATATAAAACATTTCATAAGTAAGTTTGCAAAATTAATTTAGGAACAACTGATTAGTTTGATAGTATCAGTTTCAATGTAATGAATAAGTCAAGATTTATCTGTCACTGATTAACATCCATAAGAATTTTTTTTTCCTACTTTCTGCAGCCATACCACTTACACTGTTTAAATACAAGAGAAAAAGGAAGGGACAGGTCAGACCTTGTATCAGAAATCACAGTCTCTGATTTCCTGCTAGGGGAAGGAAAGATTTGTCAAAGAAGCCATAGAGCTTCACTGCTTCCCCCAAAACATTTGGGCTCCTTTCTGTCACGGACATCAAAGCATCTGAGCCTCTTATGCTATGGACACCAGTATATCACAGCAGTATACTTGGTGAAACAGCAGGAAACAATAATTTCTCTTTTCAAAGTGCGTTTGAGTACATATGATATTACAAGCAGCAGAAGAGCTAAGGTTATAAAACATACATAACTACTTAATTAAAGCTAATCCTCCTGAGCTCTCATCTCAAATTATTCTGTATCTCAACACTATTCACAGTGTGCTTGCTGGCATTCAGTGGACGTCAGAAGCTAGCACAGACCTTCTGCAGGTCAGGATCTCTCTATTTTAGATCTACTGCATGGTAAAAAAAAATCACTCTTTCATCAAACATGAAAGACTAAAAGACATGTAAAGTAGCTGGATCGATAACATGTTAAAATACATTTTAAGAAAACGATATTATTTATATGATCCATTCTCACACTTGGATTTGCTTTACATGTCTTTGGAAACCTCTTTGTACAGCAAAATTTTCAATCTTAATAGAACTGGAAAAAAAGGGAATCCTAAAACAAAAATAATGCAGCAATTCATATTTAAGACTGTTCCAGCAGGGCATAAAGCTAGACTACAGTCAGTTGAACACAAGAATGCAAAGAAAGGAGGTGGCGGTGGCACCTGGTGTACTCAGAAGGAAACAACTCCTCACCATAGATGAAACAAAATCTAAGAAACCAATTATAAAACAAGACAATGTAAGGCTTTTATTTTTGCAGAAATAATAAGAATTTGCAAGTTGGGGAAAGGGTGGTGGGGTGGAAAGAGACACGCAACTGTAAATTCACAGGAGATGGCTCTTCTATCACATCTACACTGTCAAATATATTTTAACAGTAGATGCTATTTTTACTTCCACTCCCCAAATGACAAAAGATCATTTTTAGGGCAGGAAAGTTTAATTAAACAAAATTGTTTATGTTGTAGTAAAAAGTTGAGCTGGTTTAGACTTAAAAATAATGGTAATTTTCTCTTCAACTTTGGCTAAAAGTCTAACTAAATGCTAGATTTATGTCTGTCTCTACAGAGAGGAACAAAAGCTCACATTTTTCTTGTGAAAAAATCCACCTAAGTTTTCAGATAAGGTAAGAATTCAACATTTATCTTAAGTCATGGAACTAAAAGACAGAAGTTAACTTACTTCACTGTAAGTCTTATGATCTTTAAAAGTTCTTCTTATAAATCACTGTGTATACAACACTGCCAAGATACAAGGTGACTTAAAAATATCACAGAATCACAGAAT